GAAATGGAGGGGGAGGGGTTGCAGCCAACCACCTCAACTTAGCCTAAAGCGAACATGCCGAGGGGTCACCGGGTGTCACGTTGTTCGTGTCTGGGGTGCTGGGTGTGCGTTTCCTTCTCTTTCGGTGTTTTCCCAGGTGTCTGGATGCCTTTGGGGGTGGAAGGTAAAGTTTAAGGGTTGTTGTGGCTGTGGTGCGGTGAGACCGAGGAGGGATGCCGGAGGTGGTGACGATGGCATCATCTTTTCATAGTACCCAAGTCATGGCCTGACGTGATAGCGATACGTTGTCACAGTATCTGAGAACGTGGGGGAGTGCATGAAAACACGTGGATGGTGCGAGGCGTACGGAACTTGGCTAGCAACTAATAAGTTCATTGGCGATCTAGACAGGCCTTTTTCCATTGCTGAGACGAGACGGATTGCGCATCTCTTTGTTGGCAATGAAGGCCGCGGCCTGTCGATGCGTTTGATAGAATTTTTAATGCTCCTAGATACCTAGGTGGCAGTCATCTTTTGGTACCTGTACCGTGAACCAGACGTCTGCTCTTCCAAGGATTATATGGACGATGCTTTGGCAAGTCTTGACAGCACGTAAGGAGGCTGGAAACACAACCACAGGAATGGACCTCGACGAGAAAACTCTGGAATCTGAACCCTCTCTGCCTCTCTTGCGTTGCACTCAGACGACCGAACCAATAGGCGTCATCGTTTGAGCCTTTTGACGTCTGCCCAACACCAACCTGTCGGGTACGCACACCTCAGGTCGTAGCCCTGTTTTTTTGAATGTCATCGCGGCCGTCACCTGCGGAGGCAACGTTCGGTGGACGGCGAGGAAGAAAGCTTATTTGCGTCTAGGATGGATATCCTGGTGGTGGTTGTTCACTTGTAAAGTAATGGGATTGTTGCCAAGTCGACAGACGTGTTAGTGATTCTGCTGTATGTTGTATGTGGCTGCTAACATGAGCGCATAACACAATTAGGTAGTGACACAGGAGGGCATCCGTCTCATCTCAGTTAGCGCCATCGTGCGTTTGGAAACTAAGGGACTTGTTGACGTCATAAAAAAGCCCCCAAATCACTCATGGGCCTCCTGTCTAGCGGATGTGACGATGCAAGACGCTTGCTTTCTACCCCCGGACCAGCTGAGGATGGGAGCACTTGGGGGAGTATAGCGTGGCAAGGTAGGGTCGACGAGATGTCGCGGTGGCACCACTGCCGTATCAGTGTCGACTGTCTGCTCAATCTGGAACTCAGCTGAAGGCAGGAGCAATAAAAAGTGAGAGGATTCGCGGTTGCCATCCGTCCCTTGAAAGTTGGGAGGGAAAATGTCGAGATCGTCACAGGGGGTGGTCCAGACCGACCCCACTCTGGACAACCCTTTGGGGCCATTTAATGATTTGGGGCCAGCAAGAGGGTCGTGCTTGTGTGCGACAAGCAAATCTCGGTGCAGCACTGCAGGTGCAGTTCCCAGCCAGGGACCGCTAAGACCAGGAAGATTGCGCTGGCGGCTTGGTGGAGAACGTCATTCGACCTGGTCTTGGTGCAGGAGCTTGGGGCGGGTTTTAATTACCAGCTGTCACTGGCGGCGGCGGGGAATGGGCGATCGAGGAGAGGGACGGGACACATGTAATGTCCGACAAATATAACCTCTTTTGCCCTTTTCACTTCCGGGTGATTCACTGCATTTGTCCTTCCCTCTTTCTAGACAACCTTGGACGAACGTTTCCAACTACAACCCACGACAGACCCTCAACACATCACCTAGTAGCAACCACGATATCCCTCGTTCGAGCACAATCACCCGATCTTGCACATCACGATCATGGCCGACACCAAGGACCTCCCTCAGAGGTCGGGGACCATCATGACCAACAACTCTGTCCTTAGCGACGATGCTGTTCCCGAAGTCGATCCCACCAGCGTAAGTAAATCGATCGTTTCGTTCAGCTCCAAATAGCCAAGGCGTAGTATGGACCATTCGGCGCCTGATCCTAAATGCCCTTGGGCTACACAACCACCTAACCCTTCACAATGAAATATGCTAACAGCTCTACGCAGACCGCTGGTCTCCTTGCGGAGCGACTCCAAGCATGGAAGCATTCCGTTGGATATCTGGAGGACTATATCGGAGCCGTCGAAAAGATCCACAAAGCCCAGTCCAAAGAGTACGAGAAGGCCCTGAAGGCCATCTCCCATCCCTTGAAGGAGGGCCACCACTTTGACCAGAGCCTTGGCGGTATCGCAGCCTACTTCGAAAACATGCGCTCCAACACTCAGGCGATTATTAATACCAATCTCGAGACGGAGAAGACCATCAAGGGCTCCATCCTCCCGATCCTCGAACGCCTGCACAAGGAGATCAAGCACAAGGGCAAGGAGCTGGCACACGGTGCCCAGAAGGGTGCCAAGGAGGTTGAGAAGGCTCGCAACACCACCCAGAAGCACATCGAGCTTCTTGGCTCCCAGACTGCCTCTTTCGAGTCCGCCGGCGGCAAGATGCACGGAACTGACGATCCTTACGTCGTCAACCGTGGTGTCCTTCACAGGCTTCATAAGCAGGTTCTCGAGGAGAACAACAACCGTAACGACCTGATTGCTGTTCAAAACAACTTTAAGGACTTCGAGGCACACGTTATCGAGGTTGTCCAGCAGGCCATGGAACAATTCATCCAGCTCACTGGCGGCCAGGCCGAGAAGACCCGCGCTCTCTACTCCGACATGCTGGGCGCCATCCAGAGAGTCCCGGGTGATTTCGAGTGGAACGGCTTTGTCACCCGTAGCGGTGATCGTTTGGTTAACCCCAACGACCCTCCTCGTTCTGTCGAGTCCATCAACTTCCCCAACATGGATCACACCTCTGTCAAGCCTTTAATTGAGGGTTCTCTGGAACGCAAGTCGCGTAACAAGCTTTCTTGGGGCTACTCTACCGGCTACTACGTTGTTACTCCGACCAAGTTCTTGCATGAGTTCAAGGATAATGACAACACTCGCTCTGACCCCAAGCCGGAGCTTTCCATCTATCTGCCGGACGCCGTCATTGGGCTTCCCAACGGAAACAAGTTCAACGTCAAGGGCAAGGATAAGAGCAAATCAATCAGCTCAAAGCTCACTGGATCGTCCGAGTTGGCTTTCCAGGCCCATACCCCCGATGAGGCGCAAAAGTGGTTTGAGGTTATCAAGAACGTTGCGGGAGCCACCGGGCCCGCAGAGCCTAATTCCACGCCTACTTCTCCCGTCGTTGCCCAGGACGAGAAGATGCCTTCCATCGCGCCAGCCGCAACTACCCAGTCCGGCCACTCAGCACAAGAGGCCGGTGTTACTGGTCACGACGCTACCGCGAGCCCAGAGCTCATGAGCCCGGTCGACGGCCCATCATCCAGCGCTGCGGCTGTACCCGCGGCTGCACCAGCTGCAACAGCGCCTGTTGACGAGAAGAAGATCTAAGGATTCGCAGGACACCCTCAGCTTATGAGATCCCTACACTTGCAGACCTAGTCCGATACCTCGAGAAGAGTCCTTTCGACAGCCCTATTTTCCTCAACAAAGTGAGGCGACTGCGAGGGGCGACTCATCGACTTGCGCACCTCTGGTTGCCTTGTTGTTTAGCCTCCTGGGGCGGAAATACACCTCATATGACTCCGACTTGACCACACCACTACACTTGATTGGTTACATCACTTTCGCGCAACATCACAGCCTTACGTCCCCGATGCTTTTCCGCGGCCCTTTCCAGCACACGCGCTTGGAGGATACCATTTTGATTTATGGTTATATAATATAGCGAGCCCTAATCAAACAACAATTCTGATCGTTAACACTTGTCCGATTCCGAGTTCATTCACAGTCACCTTGATCGAGTTTGAATCCCTTGAAGTAACCACAGTAAGTAGAAGATCGAGCTGGAGCCGGCCAGTAGGATGTCTGCCTTGGCGCAGGCTGTGCCTCACCACCCTCCTCCACTCCGAGACAAGGCGTCCATACCACCATCTAAACCGCGTGGATGTCTGCACCTCATCGCGGAGCCCTATTTATAAGTGCAGAACGCTCCCGCGTCTTAGTTTGTTGACACCAGCGACACATTTGATTCAGTATTTGGCGCACACCTCGCTGTGGTCGTCTGCCGAGGAATGCGGACAGCGTGTTGAGTCAACGCTGCAACTGAAGAAAAAGCGCTCACTATACCGGTAGGTAGTTCAGCCACCAAGCTGTCAAAAACCAAGACTCTTTGCACTTTTGCGCAAGGGGGGACCTGTGGAGTGTAGGCAAGCGTCGCACACCTTCGCTGAAAGTTCGGTGAAGGTCTGCTCATGGGGTGGTGTGGCACAAGACAAGACACCCCTTACGTTGCGGGCTTAGCCTTCTCCCCCTCCACCACCTTGCTCCCTTGGAGCTGCGCGCCGCTTAGAGAAAGGCAGACTTACGCTCCGTCCCGTCATCATGATTCTCCACGATGGCCATGCTATCGACCAGAGAATGCGTTGTCTTTCTTGCCAGGGGGGGATTGAAGACTCTCCGAAGGCAAACTGCACCTTGATGCACCTACGGTACAAGGTGCAGAAGTCCTGGGAATCGGAACAAGTGTCCGCTTTCTTCAAGGCAGAGGTGAGCGAGGGAAAGAAGTGTTCTAGGGCCTGTCCGTCAGCCCTGGACAAGAAAGGCCGATGGCGATGTGCCTACACTGCGATTATAGTATCCTACGAAGGGCAGCAGCAGGCAGTACTGCCAGCCTTATCCATCGTGACCTGTCTATATACAGCGTGTATAGCTATCTTCCCATTCCCTCGGGGCGACAGCATTACCGTCTATCAAAAACATCCTGGAATCATCCATCCTATCATACTTCAATGAAGCTCACCGCTTGGCCTCTCATCGCGGTCTCCCCAGCCCTGATCTTCCTCCTCCAATGACTCCGTAGTAGCGCCCGCCCTTTTCTATCACAAGACTCTCTATCCCGCTTCGTTCCTCGTCCCCTGAGTTTCGTCCAGTCCAAACCAACGACAATGACGAAAGCGTGGAAAGAGCACAAGGACGTTATCGCGAGGCTCTACATCAAGGAGAATCGTACCCTGGATGAGGTCCGGGAAATCATGCAGCAGGACTACAACTTCAAGGCTTCGTCAGTCTAACCAGTTTTCTTTTCCCTCTTTCTTTTCGAAACCATTTGGATACATCTTGAATTTTCTCGGACCCCACGGAACCCCTCCTTTGCTCGGCAACCATAGGACGAAAGTTGGCTCTGTTACGATGACTACCTTACCTTTCCATCCTGGTGGTCGCGTCCTGTTTCCAATGGCATTTTACCAATGAGTGTACAAGGGAGATGCTTAAATAGCCCTTACAACATCATTCAGTCGAATACAAGAAAGAATGGACATCGGAAGCAGAATCTGCTAACATCTCTAATCCCAACTACCAGGACAAGATCATACCGCCAACACTTTGACCAGTGGGACCTGTCAAAGTACAACTGCAAGAAGCGTACCGCTCGCCGTCAGAGCCGCGACTACCAGCAGTACCCCGAGCAGCAGCAGTACACCCCTTCCGCTGCTGCTGCTGCCGCCGCCGCTGTTGTCATCGTCCAGGAAACTTACCCCATGAGCCCACAGAGCTACGGCAGCAGCAGCGACAGCATGAGCCCCGAGTCCGAGATGGACAACGGCAGTGGCAGGCTCGACGACGTGGACGTCGGCCAGTCGTATGGGGGCCATCAGTACACGTACGCGGGCCAGGGCCAGAGTCACAGCCAGAGTCAGGGCCAGGCTGTCTTACATCAACAGTATACCCAGCAGCAGCAGCAGCAGCAACAGCATCATCATCACCAACAGCTGGAGCAGCAACATCGACAGCGCCAGTCCTGGGACAGCCAGGTGCCGCGGAGCATGTCCTCGCCGTGGGACCAGGCTGCCCTCCCCAGCCCTCCCGCGGATCTGAGCGGGGACTCGTTCTTCCAGATGTCCGGGGCAGAGGCGTTGTCTGCGCAGGGAAATCATCGTCCGCAGGCTTATGCTACGGTGATTCATCCAGACCAGTATCGTCAGCAACAACAGCAGCAGCAGCAGCACTACCATCGGCAGCAACAGGGCGTGGATCCTCGGATGATGCCGAGGCGCCTGTTGGCACCGGCTCCGCAACGTCCGGTGAGACCGGAGCGACGGGAGTCTGTTCCATATCACGATGCTTTACACTGTGGGTTCCATCGTTCAGGACTATAGGGGTGAAGACTGCCCTGCCCTGACCTGACCCGACCTTCCCCTTTCTTGCCACTTGCCCTCTCCTTTGTTACACCCCCCCCCCCCCTCTCTAGGCTCTTGTTTCAACCGGCTTGGATTATTCTGACATGGTTTTGTAATGTTTCTTTCTTATCCGCAAGAGTTAAACCGAAAAAAGAGGGAAAACCCGGTGGTGTTGGCTTCTTTGGCTTCTGTTGGTTCGGGCATGAATGTATCTCATATAATGTCACCACACCTTTTTTCCATCTCTTGAAACAAAAACAAAAAGATATTGGCGCGGGAAGGAGGATATTTTTTTTTGAAAGCTGGTCTTTGACGGTAAATGAAGGTTGAATTTTGCAGTTTCTTGATGGATCACAGGACACAAGAACTTGGCAAAAAACACCTTTTCCGTCCCTTTCCCCTAGCCTAGCCCTTTCCACTTTGATTTGGAATTTCTTGCTCTTTTTCAGGAATTTCGTGCTTTAGTTGTAGATTGTAGTTGTATTGTGTTTTCATCTGTCGTTTTTTAAGCTTAACTTGCCTCGTTTTTTTTTTCCGTACCATGTGATAGAAAGGACAGAAAATGAAACAAGAATGCTATGAACCCCCAATCTTTCGCCTCTCCAAACCGTGGTATATACAGCCTAATTTGGATTATTGAATTTCTTTTTTGAGCACTCAAGAACTCGGTTCCTGAATGACAGACACCAAGCGCCATTCTCGAATCATCCTCATATCTACATGAAATCGTCCTCGCTAAATGGCTCACTGCTATGGTTGGACCTCAAATTCATCTTGGCCGCGCCCTCCGCCAACCCGTACGGGTCATGAACATGCTGCTTCCCACCACCTCCACCTCCACTTCCACCATCCTCTCCATTACCAGCAGGCGCCGAGTTAGACCGCACCTGCACTTTAACCTCCCCCTGAATCCCATCCACGCGGATCGTAGACACCGTCGTCCCGCCAGGCGGCGGCCTCAGGTTCGGCGCGGGCGCGAGGTTGACGAGCTCGCGGAAGAAGTTGTTGGCGGCCTCGCAGCCGTCGAGGAGCCATTTCAGGCAGATTGTGACGCGCTCTTTCGCAAAGGGGTTGTGGTCGTCGTAGGCGCAGCAGTTTAGGAGGGGTACGATGCCGTTGTGGTTTACCATTTGCGTTTGTACGTCTGGGTTTCCGGGGGTGGAGTGGCCGGGCGGGGGTTGGAGGAGGGTGGCGAGGATGGTGAAGATTTGGCCTTTGATGCCGGACCAGGGGTATTTGTGGGCTGGGTCGGAGAGGGAGGGGGGCGGTGGGGACGGGGGGAGGGAGTCCGTGGTTGAGTAGGGGCGTTCGATGATGGGGGTGCCGCCGCTGGTGGGTTGTTGTGAGGAGGACTGGGAGTGTTGGTCCGAGGGGAATGATGATGCTGCCGTGGCGGCGGCGGCGGCGGCGGGGGGCGGTCTGTTGCGGGAGGGGACGGCATCGACGAGGGGTTTCTTGGGGACGCCGGCTTCGAGGCCGTTGAGGAGGGTGATGAGGTCGTAGACGGCCTCCCACTCGATGAGCTTCTTCCTCGACTCGGCGATCTCGGAGGCGGTCGTCAGAAAATCGAGGTACTGCGCCAGGCCGTCCTTTGCGCGCTCCATGTCCCAGGTGTCCACGGGGAACTCGGCCGGGTCGACATTGTCCTCACGGATCTGGGCCTGGAGGTGCATGAGGGCGACGCACTCGGGGACGATGCGGCTGCGGAAGAAGCTGAAGAAGAACATGACGAGCTTGACGTCTCGCTCCTGGTCTTTTTTATCCTGTGGCGGGTTGCTGATGCGGCTGCGGAAGATATGGTTGACGAGGCGGAGGAGGACCGTCTGGGCGGGGGAGATGATATCCTTTGGTATGCGGAGCGAGTTCCAGGCGTAGGGGACGAGGGCCGAGTGGTGGAGGGCCTCGATGAGCTGTGAGGTGATTTGGAAGATGAGGGACTGCTCGTCCTTTTCCCAGACGGCGATGAAGACGAGCATCTCGCGGAGGAGGGATTTCCCGCAGTCGAGGGCGAGGAACATGCGGCAGCGCGTCTTTTGGAGGTTCTCGCCCGCGCGGGTGAGGCCCGTGCCGGCCGAGTCGAGGATGCAGGACTTGACTATCATGTGGAGAGCCTCGATCTGCTTCGGGTCGAGGATGTTGGGGATCTCGGTCAGGAGGCCCGTCAGGGGGCCCTCGCCGTACGACTCATCGTCGTCGATATCCTCATCGTCCATCATGTCGTCGTAGCCCTCGGCGTACTCCTCCGCGGAGCCCTCTTCCGGCCCGAGGTCCTGTTCGGACTCGTCGACCTCGACGACCTCGTGCTCCTCGGTGCGCATGACGGGCGTGTACCGGTTGAGGAGGTTGCTCTTGCAGTGCTCCGTCCTCGTCTTTGCGAACTCGACGTTGGGCATGGCGACTGCCCAGCCGTCGTAGTTTACGTCGCGCGCACGCATCCACCAGGTGTCGATCTCGCGGGATACGCGGCAGTAGGCGCGGTCTTGCTCGAACTTGTCTTCGATGTCCGGGTCCCATCTCGGGTTGACCTTTTCGCCCTCCTCGTAGTTGTCGGCGCGGACCTTGACTTGGCCCTCGGGGAACCAGTTCCACGCCAGGGGCGCGATGGGCGCGAGGACGCCCGGGGGGTTGTGCGACTTGTTCTGGGAGTAGTCTGTGAGGAGCCTGCGGGCGGTCTCGCACATGCGCGAGTTGCGCTCCAGCCAGTGCTGGATCTCCGTTTTGGCAATGTCGACGCGGAAGCCGGAGCCGTCGCCCATGCCCTCTTGCGGGTCGTCGAGCTGTGCATCCTCGTCAAAAAGTACGTCGTACCAGAACGACATCTTGTTGCGGTCGTTCTTGGCGGTCCAGTTGTGGGCTTGTTGAAGGGATGTGACCAGGAGCTTCTTGTCTGTAAAATGTGAGCGGCGATTCTTGTCTGGGGAGGCCATGGGGGGACTTACACATGTCGGTGATCTCATTCAACTTGGCCCTCGAAGACTCGTCCAAGATCTCGCCATCGTAGCCCTTGCTCGTGACGTTCACACAGAGTATGATGGTCTGATAAACCATCTGGTCAAAGTGAACCGCGGCGCAGATGTCTTGGGGCACCTCTGGTTCTGATGTGACCAGCAGATTTCTCGCAATGTGCATGAGCTTGTTCAAGATAGAGAGATCATCCTTGAGACTGTGGTGGTTCTTCACAATGAGAGCAGTGCTCTCCTGAGGGGTGACACCCTTCTCCGGATCGTTGAGGCTCGACAGCGGGCCCACTGAGCGGGTGGTGAGACTTGGGATGGCGGCGCCAAAGATCTTGGTCAACCAGATCCATATTTCGACGTTTCTTGACAGCGTTTCCCTGGTTCTTGTTAGGAAAATGAGATGGTACGAAACTACAGCAAGACACGCGTTGAGGGCACCTACCTAACGTGCTTGAAGGTGTGAGTCTTCTCGAGGGTTTTGGCAATCATTGATGAGACCCGTGCGGCAGTTTGAGGGCCCATGGGTGGGATGGTATAGTGGCCCTCAAGGCAGATGAGAGCGGCCGAGAAGCAACGCTCCTCGATAGTCTCATAGCCGGGGGTGCCATCTTCGAGGTCGAGGTCCGGCAGAGACGGCGGCGGTGTGGCCGCCATGGTGTTGTAGGTCGATGAGTTGATGAAGAGCAACTGTGACGTTGGAGATCGGGGTATTCAGAATTGAAGCATAGAGGTAAAGACCGGTGAGGCGTTGCGCCTGCCGAGGGGGTATCCGCTAGTAATGAGTGGGAAAACAGGCCGTGGGTGAAAATTATTGAAAATACTTGCACAGTTTAAGAATATTCTCATGAAGATTTCGGAGATGGAGTACCTCCAAGGTGGCGGCCCCGGGATATTGGATTGTCACTGTGGAAAATTTCCGCCGTCCGCATCGAAAACTGGAAGTATCTCTGCACTACAAATTGGTAAGCAGATACACACAGACCAATTGCCATTTTGAGCTTCCAACACCAAGTATGAGCAGGCGGCTTTTGTGGTCATTAACTGCATATATTTAGAATTCAATTTAGAAATTATGAATAGCACTTCCCAGATCAAATTCTACACAAAAAAGTGCAAATGGTTCACTCCTCATCCAACATCAGGGATTTATGTATCATGTCTAAATCTTCCCACACTATGAGTCGGGATACAACTGCTGTTCTGGGCTGGGAGCCCTGTGAAATTCCGGGCTGATGCAGTGTAGGTGCCCAAGACCCCTCCATAGAACCCCCTAAATCGGCCAATGGCAAGGGAAGCAGACGCCGTAGACCCCTCTATCGGCCGTGTGCAACTTGGGCCCCCGACGTCCGCCCCTCGGCGGGGTAATTTCGCTGCGGTGTCTGCTCTTCGACGCGAATTTGGGCCACTTGTGCGACGAGTCACTGCTTGACTCACTCCGAATACCATCATCCCACGACCTCTCGATACTTACCCCCGACGCCGTGAAGCATTCGACACCTCGCTTCCCCGAATACCACTGCATTTTTTACTTCGATCATAAACTTCACGAAACTCGTAGCATACTCAACATGGCGGAAGGCACAAAGGCGCAGGAGAGGTTCGCCCTCATCCAGGAGAACTTGGCCGAGGTCATGAACCCCGAGATCATCGAGAAGATTCTGGCTGAGGGGCGCAACCCCAAGATCTACTGGGGTAAGAAACACTTCAATTAAACTGTTGATACTCTGCGTCGGCGCATTGGCTGATCATTGCCTCCTTTCACTTTACAGGAACCGCGACAACGGGCAGACCTCACTGTGGCTACTTCGTCCCGGCCATCAAGCTGGCGCAGTTCCTCGCCGCCGGCTGCGAGATGACCGTCCTTCTCGCCGACATCCACGGTTTCCTCGACAACCTCAAGGCCCCCATCGAGCTCGTCGAGCAGCGTGCCAAGTTCTACAAGTTCGCCATCACAAACATCCTCAACGCTGTCGGCGTCTCCACGGAGAAGCTCAAGTTCGTCCTCGGCAGCTCCTACCAGAAGAGCCCCGAGTACATCATGGATGTCTACAAGATGAGCTCGCTTATTAGCGAGAGGGATGCGAAGAAGGCTGGCGCCGAGGTCGTGAAGCAGTCTGACGTGAGGATACCTGCAAAGTTTGGGTGCTTAGAACTTGGGCTGACAATGGTGACAGAACGCCCCCATGAGTGGTCTGCTGTACCCCGTACTTCAGGTCTGCGACGAGCAGCACCTTGGTGTCGATGCTCAATTCGGAGGTATGCCTTGCTTCTCGTATCCCGAAGGAGCTCTCAGACTGATCTTTTGCAGGCATGGATCAAAGAAAGTTGTTCGCTGCGGCCACCGAATGGTTGCCCAAGGTCGGATACCAAGTGCGCGCGCACTTGTTGAACCCGATGGTGCCGGGTCTGAACGGTGGAAAGATGAGCGCGAGTGATCCTGGTAAGATTATTGCCGACCCCTTCTCAAAACAAATGCTGAATTTGGCCCCACAGACAGCAAGATCGATCTTCTTGATGCTCCGGAGGTTGTCCAGAAGAAGCTCCGCAAGGCCGAGTGTGTGCCCAAGGTTGCTGAGGGCAACGGTGTCCTGTCCTTTGTCGAGTATGTCCTGCTGCCCGCTGCGTCGCTGAAGGGCAAGAAGGAGTTCCGTGTCGAGCGTGAGCGCGACGGCCTCGAGACCCTGGTTTACACCGATATCAAGCAAATGCACGAGGATTACAAGAACGATGTGGTAAGTAGCATACGGAAAGAGAAGCGATATCTAGAACCAGCTAACACTGTGTTTAGTTGACGCCCCAGCTGCTCAAGCCCGCCGTGACCAAGGCCCTGAACGAGCTCCTGGCACCCATCCAGCAAGCTTTCCAGGCCTCCGAGGAGTGGAAGCAGGTCACGGAGAGGGCTTACCCCCCGGTTGAGGACGACAAGAAGAAGAAGAAGAAGCAGCCCAAGGACAAGGGCTCCCGCTACCCCGGCGGCGGTAAGGGTCCCGCCGCGCAGGACGGCGCCGCCAAGGAGGCGGAACTGCCGGTGCGCCCTGCCGAGGGCCAGTGATTGTTTTGTTTCTTGCATAAGAAAGCGTTTTTTATCTGTACGTGCTACTACGGAACGGGTCGGAGTTCGGATGAAGACCAGAAAAAAGAAAGTCTAGAGAGAGACAGCTAGATACCTCAGATGAAAAAAGAGCATTTGAAAGAGAGAGCGGCCCCTGAACGTCTACTGCTGCCTCATTGCTCCGTCCTCATTGCCCCTACCCCTTATCATCAGCCCTGTGTCCTTGTTTCTTCAACAACGGGCTAACAGCCAAGGAATAGAGGGTCTTGATGACTAGACCATGAAGTCTTTAGTTGTTTTTTGCACTTTTCCACCTTTGGAAGTTATCAAGGGAGGTCTTTTCTCCATCCATTGACAACCATGACGGAACTAGGCGATCAACTTCCCATCACTGGCCTGGTGACAAGGTAAATAAGTGTCCCTCTGAAACAAGATCCCCTCTGACTGTATTTGGGAAGGAACGACATGCTGTCGTAATCTGCAACACGTGGTGAAGACGGCGAGAGCATGTGGTGGGGTGTTTACCCAGCGGGATGGATGCCCGGGACGACGCAATGGCGGGGCACTGAAGAAACGGCAGCATTCAAGTGCGGCGGATGGCGGGGTAAATTTCGGCGGGGTCGAAAAAAAGATGTCAGACTCCGACCGCATAGCAAACCTACCCAAGCTTTCGCGCCGATCTACACCTTGCAAGATTCTCTTTTCTCCAGCTTTGTTATTTTATTTTCCCTGCTTTACCTGTGATACCCTCCATTTTCCCACGATCAATCGATAGAAAACGACGCAATGGCCGACCTCCCTACCACCTTTGATCGTAAGCTTCATCCACGACGCTCCCCTTCTCCCGATACTGCCCAATGCCCAAACTAGAGGCAAAAAGCGCAATACCTTCGGACATGACTGACATCCTGCCCTCCCAAACAGGCCCCGTCCACATCGCCGTCATCGGTGGCACCGGCCTCGGAAAGCTCGAAGGCTACACGCCCGTCGCCCAGCTGACGCCCACGACCCCCTGGGGCAAGCCCTCCTCCCCGATCAGCATCCTCGAGCACAACGGCGTCCCCATTGCCTTCCTCGCCCGCCACGGCCTGCACCACCAGTTCGCGCCCCACGAGGTGCCCGCCCGCGCCAACATCGCCGCCCTGCGCTCCATCGGCGTCCGCTGCGTCATCGCCTTCTCTGCCGTCGGCTCCCTGCGCGAGGAGATCAAGCCCATGGACTTTGTCGTCCCGGACCAGGTCATTGACCGTACCAAGGGCGTGCGCCCTTTCACCTTTTTCGAGGGCGGCGTCGTGGGCCACGTTGGCTTCGCGGATCCGTTTGATAAGGGGCTTGCGGAGGTCGTTAAGAAGTGCGCGGCGCATATGCAGGGCGAGGGCGTCGTCTTGCACGAGAAGGGCACTATTATCTGCATGGGTGAGTTTCTTCCTCTCCCAACAAGAAGCTGCAGCGAGAGAAAGACAGAGAAGAAACGAAAACATACTAACCGAGAAACCCCAAACAGAGGGCCCCCAATTCTCCACCCGCGCCGAGTCGCACATGTACCGCTCCTGGGGCGGCAGCGTCATCAACATGTCGGCCCTCCCCGAGGCCAAGCTCGCCCGCGAGGCCGAGATGGCCTACCAGATGATCTGCATGGCGACCGACTACGACTGCTGGCACTCGTTCGAAGACGTCGACGTCGCCATGGTCATGAAGTACATGGCCGCCAACAGCGAGAACGCGAAACGCCTCGTCGGCGGCGTCCTCGACGAGCTCTCCAAGCAGGAGAGCGGCGACCTCGTCCTCGCCAAGCAGTGGGAGGGCGCCTCCCAAGGTGCCGTCAAGTTCATGACCAAGCCCGAGGGCCGCAGCCCCGAGGCCATGAAGAATGTCGAGTTCTTGTTCCCTGGGTTCTGGAACTAGATGCCCGTTTCGCAAGACTTTTTTTTTTTATAACCCCCTTTCTAAAGTTATTTTGCAGTCCGGTTCTCGGTACCAGGCACGCGACCAAGAATTGGTATACGTGCAGGAATATGAGCGTGAGCGTAAATAAAAGTAGTGGTAAAAACGGCGTGAATAGATGGACTTGAGTCTGAGCATCAACTGTTCAGGGCGGTAGCGAATGTAGTCACCAGGATAGAAACCCTGTGCAAAATGAAAAGTACGATACCAGTGACGTTAACACTATGGTCAATGAATTTAGTCTCATGCAATCTCCTCTGTGCTACGATTGTTCTTATCGCATGGTCCAACGCCTCGAAACGCCGGTTCTAAACCCCCTCAAACTGAAAGAAAAAACGTCTAACCAACAAAGCACCTCGCCATGTACCAGATCACATCAAAAGGTATAATGCCCGAACACCCTTCTCCGCCGCCGCAATGTGCCAGGGACGTATATCCGTACCCCTATCTACAACCCCCCTCGCGCGAGCTAGAGTTCCAAGGCCCCTGAAGTAGGTAAGCATCTCCCGCATGAGAGGCTCGTACATGCGCGGATTGTTATCTGCATGCACAATGCTAACCTCTAGCACGACAGGCGGGTCTTCGAGCTTCGTCCCTCCACGTTTGACGAGATACCCGCTAATAAGGGCCGGGCTCAGCTCGCCCAACGAAGAAGAGTTGCTCAGTCGATGCGCCAGCACGGCGCCCCAGGTTTGGTCTGTAACGTCGAGAAGAATAGCGTCCCCTTCGACAGGGTCGGCATTACCGTCGCCTGGTGTTCCGCCCGGAGTTGCGGCGCTTGTTGTGTTTTCTTTCATGGGTGTGGCCGGCGTGCCACTCTGCTCTGGTGAGACTATCGATGCTTGTGGGGTGGACACGGGCGTTGTGTAGAAGGCCGAGGATGTTGTTGCCGGGACCTTTATGGCCGGCGGAACCAACTGCATGGACGGATTGGTATCGACCGAAATCAAGGTCAAGCTCACCGTTGCCACCGACTCCGTCTGAGCCAGACCCTGCCAGAACCCAATCTCTTGCGCATCCATGAAACCGCACTTGGAGATGATGACTCGCCAGTGGACTTTCCACTTAGAAATCAAGTCATGGGTAGTTTCCCATATTTCGTGGTAGACGTCGTTGAGCGATGTAGACAGCGCCTTGCCCTTGCGGCCAAGGTTGTATGATGCTGTCATCTGCTGGCATCCCCTGTTGTCAGTCCACGCCGCGGAGATCCATCTCTCGTCGATGCTCTGCGCATAAGCGATGTGAATACATGTGTTCTCATGCATCAACGACGATGAAGATGGATTAGAAAGCTTGAAGTCGATGCCTCTGGGTAGCGACTGCTCGAGCATAATGGCTGGTGATGGCATAGGTCCGCCAAATAGCGTACAGCGGTCGTACGTTTCGATCGCCAATTTGATCGCATCACTAGGCGTCGGTTCTACTATTCCCGTAGAAGAAGTCAGAAAGTCTAGGGGCACAAGTTGCAAGACCAATTCGTTGACTGGAGTCTGCCGCCTGTCTGTCAGAGTCCTTTTGTGCATCTCGAAGAGCTGTTGGAAAGCAGTGCAGGCCTCGACGATAGACCCAGGATGGTCTGGGGGATATACAAAGTATATCACATAGTTCTTTTCCGAAGCATTGGCCGAAATGAGCCCCTGGTTGAGTGCCTCCATGCGATCACCCAGGCCGGCCACAATGTGAGGACTGACGGTCCCAGGCGAAGTGGCGATTTTGTCTACTTCATAGGGTAGAAGGCCATCAGCCACCTTGGAACTGGTCGCAAGGCGTTCGAAGGAGCCCAACTTGAGAAGCTCGTAAACGTTTCGCATGCGGTCCAGAAAGGCGGCGGCAACATCTGACATTCCATCCCAATGGGGGAAGACACAAACAACATTGACGTCCTTTGTGCCTTGAGCAGGACCCAACCCCAAGCTTTCCCAAAATTGAACGCTCGCTGGCAAGACCGATAGTCTAGCTTCCGCACGTCGAAGTTCCATATGAGGAGCTGGGATCTGGAAGAGGTTATTTGGCTTTGGCGGTTCTGCGTTATTGTCCCGCGGATTGACCGGCCTCGGATGAAGTCTGTTGGGCGGGCCAAGTAGGGGAACGTCGGGAATCTCGACCACACCTTTGAAGTTGCATATGTTGAAGTCACCCAGACAAGCGGGAATCACCTCGCGCAAAGCTTGCAAAGCGGTCCGGCCTAGGGAGGATAATTGGCGCCGGGTTTCCGGTATGATTGCCGAGTTCAGCGTATTCGCATGCGCGTCGCGTATTCTCAAATTCCCAGTTACCGCTTGCTCAGTGACAATTTGAGCAATGGTGATGGTGTCCTCATCTGGAAGTGAAAGATGAATAGGTAGTGACTCTGCATCTTCAAAGTATCTCGTAATGAGCATTTCTGAGGCTTCAGCCTTGGCTAGCTTTGGAAGGTCCAAAGCTAATGTAGGATCTGAATCCTCGACAGACTCAATATCTCTAAGGGAAGTGACATGAGACGCAACGTCGTCGTCCAAGTTCAGTCTTCGAATGCTTGACTTGAAGGGCGACGTCGGCTCGTCTTCTGACGTGCTCGAGTCGTCTTGGTCTGATACTAGGCTGATGTCATCGGCGTCAGATGCAAGATCATCACCTTTCCCGGGACTCGCAATTAAGGAACTGTTCTCGAGGTTGCCTGTGATAGTTCGGATCAGGGCGTTCGTGTGTTCTGGTTGTTTAAGTGGCTTCCTGCCCTTGCCGTGTCGTCGTAGGTAGTCGGTAGTAGGCGGCCCCTGATGAAGAGACTGATTGCTGGATTCTTGAGGCAGGCCTTGGAGCGTCGGCTTGCAATCAAATCGTCCTCCTTGCTCGTACTTCTTGTTGACAAGAGGCAAGACTGGATCAAAGTCCACGCTATCGAAAATGCTGCCTTTCCGCGCAGGGGTTGATTGGGGAGCAGAGCGGATATCTGCCAGAGAGGCCCGAACTCTTTTGTAGACAATATCCGGATCGAAAGGGCTTGACTCTCTCTTCATACCGCCTGCCCTGTCCGTGTTGGACCGTTGTTTTCCCTCGTCCATCAATGTACTTCGCGCATGCTTCAACTCCGGCTTGGTGAAAATCGGAGGACTTGGTTCGGGCTTAGTATCCTCCACCGGAGGCAACATCAGTTTTGCCGGCTCAGGCATAGATACGGGGAGGACAGCAGGCATCGGTGGTCCGTCAGGCATGCCCAAGTCAGGTAAGCCAGATAGGTCGAGATCATCGCCCTCTTCGTCAAAGAAGTTGAAGTCAGCATCAGTAATGTCGGTATCTCCGAACATGTCAGGGCCCATGTCGCCAAACAAATTGTCATCGTTGTCTCCCCCAGTGAAGGAGTCCGCTCGACCTTTCCCATTCTCGTTGGCATGCTCATTCGTGTGCTCGTTTGCATGCTCGTTTGAGTGCCAGCCGTCAGCGTAGGAATCATGTTGTAGCGTGCCATGCATGGTAGGTGCGTCGTGTACGGTAGCATCTGTCATAGTAGTATCTATGTCAACAACTGCCATGGTGACTCCAGGGGCACCTGGGCTAGAGGTCGTCCCGTCCATCGAAGGCGTGATACCGAGTGGATTCTGAACTCCGTCTGGAGGTGTTGGATACATGGCACCTGCAGCTGCCGCATTGCTAGCTCGTCTTAACCCTAGTGGTGAATGTCCGTTTGGTTGGTGTGTCGAAGCTGCTGCCGAAGCCTCTTTTGATGCTGCCGCTTCCCTCTCCTTCTTCCTCTTGGTGACTTTTTCGTCCCTGTCAGCGCCCAGCTGAAACCAGGTCCTAGCCTCATTGAGAAAGTCAGAAGTCTCGTCTTGCGCCAATAGCACTGAATCTCCCAGGCCGTTACTTCGCGCGAGCATGACAGACTTCTTGCGGAAACAGAGGACTGCTGGCCAAGATACAGTAGCCACAGCGGACGATAGTGGCGTCGTTTTCCCTTCGGATTTAGACTCGCCAGGTTTCCGGCGGAGCATTTGCAGTGCGATCCATGGACAAGACTGTAGTAACGCAGGAGACAGCCCACGGGATTGAAGGATTTTGATGCAGGTTTCTCTCCATTGTGAGGATCTAGCGTCCGCATTCCTCCAAAGTTGGGCATCCGGCGTCTGTCCCAGGCCAATTTCGGGGTATGACAGGCCTCCACCGACGAACCCTTGGTAGTTCGCTAGAACGCCGAAAGGGGCAGCCAATATCTGAGAGCCTAGAGCAAGTTGGCTCGGACTTGATGGTTCATTCACAGACAAGAGACCCTCGCAACAGGATAAAGATAAACTTATGACTAGTGCGCCCGTCGTTGTGAGGTATACGCGGAATGTTCCCACGACCGCAGACTCCGTGTCCTGAGCTCTCTCGGTCTGACCATCTCGTGTAACCTTGGAAGGAAGTAAAACGGTTCGATGATTCAGGGGTATTGCCGATACGCGGTTGCAAAATGATGCTGACGTTGTTGACAGAACGGCCGTAATAAATTGCTCGTATGCCTCCTTTATCGGAACAGAACCAGTGCCCTTAGAATCGAGTGCGCCGGCTGACGGGGGTTTGGAATCGGGATCGGAGGAGCTTGGCGGTCCGGAGTTGCCCATTTGCGGGTTCCGTAATGATAGGTCAAGGGCCGAATTACTTGACGATGAGCTTGTTGGTGTATTCGAGGCTTGCTGCCCTTGAGCGCGACCCTTAAACAAACTTATTGGTTCAAAAGAACCTTCGTCAACCATCAGCAATGTTGCGCCCGCGACGCTGACGCTACTGTCCAGAACCCTCGGGGTATCGTCGCCAGACTCTGCATCCTTGCCTGGAATGTGGAAATACCACACAACTCGTCTGTTCGCATCGTAATACACAATGTGGTTGAGGGTTCTCAGTTCGGTCTCGACATCGGCGGCGATTGAAGGAAAGCTTGACGCCTGTTCAGGAGAGGGCTCGTAAACTCGGTAATTGATGGTAGATATGTTATTCTGGCACCAAATTGTCAGCGATTGCAGTCCATATATCCCAATAGACAACACAAACATTTAATAGAGTATTAGTATCGTATTCGCTCGTGTCCATATCGACGGTCGAGTCTCGCGACGGCGGGATGTGTTCCGTGTCGCAACATCAACTCTCAGTCGCTAAAGCTCCCAGGGGCCGCAGGAGCCGGTTCAAAGCTGTAGGCCGGCAGTCATAAAAGAAATGTTTCGTTACGGCATCGGTCGAAACTTGTTATGCGACTGAAAGAGGTTTTGATACGGTTATGTGGTTGAATTCGCGAAGTCATCGACTCCATCTCCGTAGGTCGAAAGCGCGACCAATGGACCGGCTTCTCGGCATCAACCGAGTCCAATTCAGTTACGGGATTATCAAGTATATTCGGAATAAAGAATCTAGCCAGCTGATTGTACGATAACGGACACTCGGATGTCGTTTGTGTTCGAGATTTGTTGGATTCGTCGTCGAAGAGCTGAGGTACCGCTTGGATCACTTTGTCGTTGTTCAAGCCTGGTTGGGTCGGTAAACCGCCGGAAATCCAGCACTGTCGTTGACACGCAGACAGCCCAGATTCACGCGGCTGAATGCACTAATAGGGTCCTACTGGGAATCAGTGGGTGATGCTTCAACCAATGAAATCGACCAAAAGTTCCTGGGCAGCTAACGCAATGTAGTGGGGCAGTCTGGAAGTCGGAAAGGAGTTAGCTAATCATCCACCGCCTCACCGAGACCTTCCCTGCTCAAACCAAGGTGAGGGCCCCCCACCAGCTAGCCAGGGACTCTTATCTAATCGGAACTTTTTGGGCAAGAAAAAAAAAGTCCCCTCGGCCGCAATTCCTTCACACCTAGTCGCATTGTCGCGAAGCACCCGCCCGTACAATTTTCACCAGTGGTCTCCGACAAACACGATGAAGTTGACGAACCCAGGAACCATTCCGGTCTACACCGTTTCCGGTGCATCGACTGCCAGACCTTTGCCGGATTGGCTGGCAAGACGAAGAAAGCGATCGCTCAAGAACGACGCTGAGTACCAGAGCCGAGTCGAGCTCCTCCAAGATTTCGAATTCGAGGAAGCCAGTACCTGCATTCGCGTCAGTGAAGATGGTGACTGGGCTGTCTCTGCAGGAACATACAAGCCTCAGATTCACGTTCACAATCTCCCACAACTGTCTCTGTCGTTTGCGCGCCATACGAATTCTCTTACAGAGAAGTTGACGATCCTCTCCTCCGACTACTCCAAAACTCTACTCCTGCAGGATGACCGACAACTCGAGTTTCACACCCCAATGGGCTGCCATTACAAGATTCGCATACCCCGTTACGGCAGAGACTTGCTCTACGACCGGCAGTCAACCGAAGCACTTGTACCAGCCGTAGGAGTTGACCAGGATCGCATGGGTGAAGTCTTCCGCTTGAACCTGGAGATTGGCAGGTTCATGAAGTCTTTCCAGATAGATGTCGGCGGTGATGAGGAGGGGGCTGGGCTCCAAGGAAGTATTGATGCCGGAAGTGTCAACGCCGCGGCCTTGGCCGAAGGCTCCCATGGCCTTGCAGCTTTCGGAACCTCCATTGGCACGGTGGAATTCTGGGACCCGAGATCGAAGTCAAGAGTCGCGCGTCTAGGCTGCCAAGAGGGTGGTATCACTGCCTTGGACTTCAGCACATCTGGACTTTCCATTGCCACTGGTTCCGAGACTGGCATGGTTCAGCTGTTCGATCTCCGTCGCCCAGTTCCTCTCTTGACCAAGGACCAGGGATACGGCTTCCCGATCAAGAAGCTCATTCACATGACAACAGCTTCCCAGGAAAAGAAGATTTTGTCTGCCGATAAGAAGATCATCAAGATCTGGGACGAGACGGACGGTACACCATGGACCTCAGTCGAACCCATTGTGGATCTGAACGATGTGTGAGTTACGAGACTGGCAATCCTGCTTTAAATTTTCACTAACCAAAAACCAGCGCTTGGTGCAAGGACACCGGTATGCTTCTGACTGCCAACGAAGGCAAGTCCCAACACTCCTTCTTCATTCCCAGTCTCGGCCCGGCACCACGATGGTGCTCTTTCCTCGACAACATGGTCGAAGAGATGGCAGAGGAGGTCCGCACAGAGACATACGACAACTACAAGTTCTTGACGCTGCCCGAGCTCAGGCAGTTGAGCATGGAACATCTTATTGGCAAGACGAACCTGCTCCGTCCGTACATGCATGGTTACTTTGTTGCGTCCAAACTCTACGAACAGGCCCGCCTCATCGCCAACCCGTACGTTTGGGAGGAAGAGAGGACGAAGCGCATCAAGGAGAAGGTCGAAAAGGAGCGCGCGAGCAGAATCAGAGGCAACAAGAAGCTCAAGGTCAACCAGAAGCTCGCCGACAAGCTCCTCAAGAAACAGGAGAACAGAGAGGTGGTCGACGAAAAGGCCGGCCTGCTCGGCGACGATCGTTTCGCCAAGATGTTCGAGGACGACGCTTTCGCCGTCGACGAGTCCACCTACGAGTTCCGCGCTCTCAACCCCAGCACCAGGGTCGCCGCGAAGGATACTCACGAGGTTGGTGTCAGTGCTGCTGCCCAGCCTGTTGTGGACCAGGGCCCCAAGGGTCTGGGTAAGAAGGCTACACAGGAGTACCAGATGAAGATCTCGTCTTCCAACCAGAAGGGTCAGGAGCGGGACACTGCTCTGGGCGCCAGGGTACAAAAGTCTGGCCGCATCAGTAAGACGCACCGTGGCAATGCCTACGGCGAAAAGGCGGTCACATTCGTTCCGCAAGGGAAGAAGAAGAACGGGGGCCCTGTGGACACTCACGACGATTCTCGGCCGCGCGACCACAAGAACAATGCAAGAAGAAGTGCCAGCTCAAACACATTTCGAAGACTTTAAGGACAAGCGCTATGTATTCTCAAAGGGCATAATAATGGTACAAGAAAAAGGACTCTATACGCTACGCAGATCCAAGTTCGCCAGTCATCCAGTCTCGACCGCCTCAGCAAATGAACCATTACACCAGCACCAAGCCAGTTGGCGGCCGTCATCCCTCCCATACTCTGAGTTTCCTCTCAACCTCGCCTACTTCCGACCCCACCTCATCAACTTGCGCTTCGACTCTGCTTCCTTGAGGCCCTTTTCGAGATCTTCCGGGCGAAGTCTGGGCGTAGGCGGAACGTCGTCGATCCTCGCGCGCCCGCGGTGGCTGCGTGGCGGAGACGAAGACTCCTTGACTGATCTGGGGAACTCGGTCCTCCGCGGCGTAAGAGCGGTGACGACCTTTCTGGCGGACTTGCGCATGGTCTCTCTAATCTTCCACTCTCGCTTCTTGGCAACGTAGAACAGAACGGCCATGCCAACTGTACGAGTAAGGGTCGAGTTAGCGAATGGGAGTTTTCTCAAGGAGTTGGTGTTTTGATTTTTATTGCATGGATTTCACGTACTTCCGAGGGCTCCAACAACAGAGACGACGACGATGATGGCAATCATGGCTTCACGGGATAGGTTGACAGCCCCAGGGCTGTCACCAGAGGCTCCTGCCTCGGTGTCGACGCCATTTCCAGATGAGCTGGCGTCTCCAGGAGAATCTGGATAATAGGTTTCGGTCGCCAGAGGAAAGAAGTTGGAGGTTGTGGTCGCCATCTTGGTTGTAGGTCGAGGTGCCACTCGCAGAGGGGCAGCGGTGAAGACGGTGATTTGGAAGGATTGTGGAAAAGTTCTTAGAGAGGCACAGCCAGGCAAGGTGGGAAGACAACCGAACGAGAGAGAGAAAACGGCGTCAGAATCGTATGAGTAAGGTAGAATAAAGAAGCTGAACAAAAATCGAAAGGATACCCGGCGCCACGAATGTGGCCCAACTCACTATTTACATCGTTCAAGCGCCCAGAGCATACCTATTTTTCTCACATGGGAGCCCAGCGCCAATCGTTTACTCCATCCCCCTCCCCTTTTCACCCCGTCTGCAAGCAGCCATACAGAGGGAAGCGACCACTCAGAGCAATGTGACTTGACGAAGCGAAGGGCCCTCTCAACACCCCCGAGCAAGTGCATACATAGCATTTTACACACGGCACTTGCAAGCAAGCACGACAGTACGTCGGCCGGGGTGTGTGTGGTCCAAAGACCCACGTCCGGGGCACAGGAACCGTATCGAAGCACCTTGTTCAAGACCGTGAGGACTCCCAAGACTTTGAAAGAGAGGAGAACCTCGTTTGAGCCCAGGGACGGTCGAAATAGGCTCGCGACGTTCCCATTGGTTTCGAGCAGCGTCGAAGCGCCGGCACACGGCGCTTTCACATCGGGGCCGGGATGTGGTGGCCAATCAGCGGGAGCAGTCTGGGATGGGCGGCTCGGACGAATTTGGTGAGGTGCAGGGGTTGAACTGCGTCCCGTCACAATCCTACCTGGTTGTGTTAATGTATCTTTCGACTTGCATTTCCTATTTGCACTGCATGTGTGTGCGCGGCCGGAGTCAGTCACTCGAGATCAATTTTGAGAGGTTGACTGTCATCGGCAGTGGATGTAATATCGACGAGCTTAATTATGTGATAGGGGAGGGGTTTTCGCATTCCCCGTTGACATGACGATCCTGCGGTGTGATGGCGCGCATCTGGAGCTAATTCGAATGGCCTGCGTTTTGAGAGATATACTTTCCTATGGCTTCCCGCTCTATCTGTGATGCCGTCTGCACAGCTCGTCACTGTCACTCCTTTTCCTCCCGCTGACAAGAGAAGCAGAGCATATCCGTTGTATGGCCAAAAAGCGGGAGAGCCGAGTGGTACAGGCAGATCTTGGTCTTGCCTCGATCAAGCGCGGGCCACCACTGTTCCGACGATGATGCCTTGGAGGTGTGTCACTTGCCGCCTGCTCTCCTTCCCACTTATCATTTGTGTCGTTTTCTCTGTGGAGATGCTTTTAGCATTGCTTGGCTTTCCCTTGGGAAGTTCTAAATTTGGGGGCGAATGCCTTGGCCTCCACGTTAATTTTCTCGGATGACTTTACGCATCTTTCTCAGTTTATCATCGCGGGGGGTTCGTTGACGGAGCTGGCGTGACCAGTCAGCACATCCCATCGGAGAAGGTTGTTCCTGCACGGCTGAAGATCAAGCGGTCTCCTCTCCCGGTGGCCATGGAACGCATAGAGAAGCCGCGGCCAAAGGCCGTCCCGGAAACTGACATTGTTGACGCAGAGAGATGACAAGCAAGTGTCCTGAAACCGGTGAATGCCAAGAGAGACTCCTTGCTGGGATGCTTTCTTCTTCTTCTTATTTTGGATCTTGGGTCAAGGTTACCTCACTACAAATATGATGATGACTTGGTGTTTTCCACTACTTGCTACCATCCTAAGCGGAATGGAGAAAAGGAACGTCGAGTTATTGATATGACTACTGCCTTTTAACTACTGCCCCTTCCTTAACTCGGCAAATCCCCCATGCAATTCGTCATATTTTTTCACTTTCGCGAGCTAATGTTCCGCGCCTTCAAATCTTGTCGGTTGACGCAGGATATGGAAAGTTCTTATCATATGTTGTGCTTATGTCAAGAAATGTAGATGGTGAATGATTCTTTCGGAACACGCCGAAATGGTATTAGAGACGGAAATTTTAGTCCATCTGATGCCGCAAGCTGCACTTAACTGGTAACTGGACAAAAACGGAGATTTATATGTGCCAGAGAAAGAAACATCGTCTTAACAGCATGGTCCGTCAACGGGAAGGAAAGACGCACATAAGTAGAAGGCAGAGGCGGTTGAATGGGGGTAGCTAAGGTACCTTAATCCTCTGCTCTAACAGCGTCGTTCCTTCCACTCGGTGGTAGAGGGCAGGTGTTGCCACATTCTTTTGGCTATTGCTTTCCTGACCTCAAGTCACGAAGGCTCTTTCTGCATCTCAGACAGGAAAGCTAAAATTCTATGCCTTGCGATTACCTGAAAGCCATCATCAGTTGTGCCACGGCAGGCAACCTAGGAGATACCTCCCAGTACTGGAGGCCCAATTCATTTGGTCGTGGTGTGCTCATCGTCCTCAACATCGTCTTCGACTTCAACTCTCCCAGCCCGCTTCATCTGAGAGAGCTGTTGACTCTGTTTCCTCTCTCTCCTCGTCCTCCTAGTTGTCGACTCCTTTCCTCGTCCAGACTGGCTCTCTGTTGAATTTTGCTGTCTTGGACCAGAGACTCTTGATATTGGCCACAGCTGGTGGCTGTAGTAGCTACCACGGCCTCTGGCCTCATCCATACCATGGCCGACAAATCCAGCCCCGACCCTCTTTCATCAAATGGTGACACGTCCCGACACGCTAGGCATAGTTCCAAGCCCCGTTCGAAAGGACCCAGCCCAGATCACTCCCCCGAGGACGGTTCCCAGGCCGAAGACTCACCCTCCAGTGCGGAGTCCCAACCGTCGTTGCTCAGCCAGCTAAGAGCCTCGCAGCCGAACGTCAAGCACGTCATCCAAGATGATGGGAACGAGCAGTATCATGTAACTCAGACACACGGCCGCCGGAGCAACCCTTCATATCATCCTGAAGAAGACCCGGAACTTGTTGGGGAGATTGATACATTTGTCTTCGCACCACAGCCCAAGTACAAGCCAAACCAGTTCTCTGGCCAGCAGCAGCGTCGATCTATCAATTTTAGTGCCCTCAGTGGGCGGCAAGATGCAATGCCCCAAGATGACAGGGCAGATGCCGGCATCGTACGAACAGCCCAGCCACAGGATCAACCAGCTTTGATAGACGATAATAGTCACCACTACAACGGCTTCAACACCTATGCGAACGATACGACATCTATCATCTCTCAAAGTGATCAAGGACGAAGAGGGACTCCATCACAACGCTTGAGGACTGCAGAAGTCAACTCGGAGCAATCGAGTAGCCACGGTCAGCTACCGGGCCGAGGTCTCTCAGATCAGATTACCACCAGCTCTGGAAAAGATTTAGCTGGAAATTCGGTCTCGAGACGCCCATCTGTTAGAGTCGAGCAGAAGATCAATGGTTCCGCTACGAAGGACCGCAGCATTCGACCCTTTGCAGATGCCGATGCTGTTCTTCACTGCGATCAACGGGAGACTCTACAACCTAAACTTGCACAAACAACGACTACCGACAGGAGCATTCCATCACAGCGGCGCAGCTCTCAGGGAGAAAATGAAGGTGAACAACAGCAATGTGTGATTTCAGATCGAGACTTGGAACCTCGTCTCTCCGAAACTAGCAAACCCGTCAATGATAATCGTATGATACCTCGTCAGATATCACGAGTTCAAAGACAGCATCATGAGGCAGTTGAGGTTCGGTCGTCTACTCCAGTTGGCGACTTGGAAATGCCACAGAAACAAACTCCTGGTTCTGCTCGTAAGTCGAACCGACAGCACTCTTCGCCTCGAGAGCAGTCAATTAGACGTATCAGACGCGACCAAGATGCCAGAGATGTTCCGCAACGTACGAAGTCGCGTCTTTCAAATACTTCCCGGCGTCGAAGGCACTCCCACCGCCAATCACAACATGGCAAACCGAGTCAGGAAAAGGCCAATCCAGGCTTGGAGAACCAGCAGGTCACGGCAGACAGCCACTACGAAGCACTCGAAAGTATGTCGGCTCACTACAATAAAGTTCTCAGTTACTCAAAAGAAGTTGAGAACAAGATGAATAGTCGTCTCATGGGCCAGAAGCAGCAGATCGAAGAACTGTTGACTCGGTTACAACAGTATCAAGCACGTTATCAGAAAGACTGCGACCGCCGGGTGCAGTCTAACTCGGAGCTGTCTCTTTTACAAAATCAGAAGGACGAGCTCTCCCAGAATCTAGCTCAACAAGATGGACGGCTGCATGAACTAGAACAGGAAGTTGCCGATCTGCAAGCCGAGAGAGAAAAGCAAGATGAAGAGGCGACTAGAATGCACCAAGAGTTGGAGGTCACGCACTCCAAGCTTGAAAAGTTTCAAGAGAAAAGCCGCTCGTACAAGGACCACCTCAATAAGGCTGTTGCAGAACACCAACAACTCTGGCAGCATTCCAGAGATATCACTGAAAAAACCGTCAACAGCATGAGAAAGGAGCATCGACAGGCGGAAGAGAAGTTTCAGTTGGCCATGGCAGAGAAACAGGCCGCCCAGGATAAGTTAAATTTCATTTCCAAAAACAAACAGGTACTTCTCCAGCAGGAAGTGGCAGCGGGTGAGCAGATTCGATTCGAAGATTCAAGGTCGCTGTGCTGACATTAAGAAGCGGCTTCAAAAATCAGAGATTTGACGTCGGCCCTAGACAGCCTTGAAGGAGATTTCGATTTTGAGGCACAGAGAGCCAAGAAGCTGGAGGGCAAGCTCCTCGATGCAGATGCCTTGAAGGGCCTACTGCGCCAGATCGATGAGAATGTGGCTGGAGTCTGCTTGGAGGTGGACAATATGCAAGCACGCTCTCTCGAAGCGCCCGCTGTGCCAACCGAGGTCATGAGAAGGTACTTCTCAATTACCCTCGTGTCATCCGTATGTAACTGACTTTTACAGGTTAGACGAAATTGCGGGCCATGTGCAATTGTCCCCTCAAGTCAACATTGAAGATGAGGTTCAGCGAGCTCTGAAGACCTTTCAAAAGGAGATGATGCCACAGTAGGTGTCCGCTGATGCATTCTTATTTCTCCGCTAACGTATGTTTAGACTTTTGGAGGAGTTGAAACTCACCATGACTGGTCAGTCCATTGAAGAAAAACTGCAAAGTCTACAGAAGACGCTTCAGAAACAGTCGTCATCGATGGAGACGGAGCGCAAACATCGTCAGGAAGAGTTGATGTTACAACTTTCGGAGAGAAAGGATGAGAACAGCAAACTCGCGCAGGATCTTCTGGCCAAGGATTCTGAAATCGCAGATATGACCAACTGTGTCTCTGAACTGAATGAAAAACTACGAGAGGCGAGAGGCTCTGCAGAGTCGGCATCAAAGAGGGCAACAACCATGGAAGAAAAGCTCGGAGAGTTACATCAAAGCCTCTCAAGCAAAGATTGTCAGGTCACAGAGACGCAGGCTGAGCTTCAACTTCAGCGACAAGGGCACGAGACCAAGATCCGAGAGCTCCAGGAGAAGTTACGAATTGCCGAGGAAGAAGGCCATCTTCAACGCCAACGAGCCGAAGACTCGGAGAAGAACTTTGAAAAAAGGTCCGAGGAAGATACCGAAATCCAAATGCGGCTGAAGAGCTCGGCAGAATCTCTGCACCAGGCTCAGCAACAGTTGACCATGGTCGGGACGGAGGTTGAACGCCTCAAGGCCTTGGATAGTGTTATCAGGGCATCAAAACTCGAAAAGGAGTTGGAGAATGCTCGTCAAAGAGTCACCAATCTCACACTCAAGCTTCGAGACACGCAGGCCCCGGTTGCCAACAACGACCAGCTTGATCAGGTAGCTGAACAGCTTGCCCAGCTCCGAATACTGAAGGAAGAAGTCAAACAGCTCAGGTCAAATGGCAAGGCATACGCGGCGGTCAGTAAGGACTTCGCAAACACACTCGACAGACAAGGTGCCACGGGAAGCGACGATATTCTGATCCCTGACAGTCTCGTGCTGCCGGAACCAATGCTTCCCGTGTTGCTGCAGCAAGATGTTTACGATCCTCTGAATAACTTTCAGCCGAGCTCCTCTGACATCCCGCTGATTCGAGCCAGCAAGCGAACGGTTTTCCGCAGTCCTGTTGAAGAGTCAGAAGATGAGATGCCTGCGCCATCAGTCGAACAGGGAAAGTCGCAGCGAATGGAGGTGGACGCTCAGAGACCCCGGCTCAGATCAATCCTCCGCCCAGAGAGAACTCAAACTGCGAGAACATCAAAAGGAAATAGCGATATCATGGTCGCGCGCCATGCTGGACACTCTTCGTACAACCGACCCGTGCAAAGTGCCCCGAAGTCCAGTCAGGAGGCCATCTTGGATGTCAAGAACAGCCTTGTGGGCAAACGCAAGGCAAACCTCGGCGATTTGACCAACCCTCACGAATGGGAGAGACTTGAAGGACCAGCGAGCTATTCGGAGCCGCGAGGAACCAAAAGGTCCAACAACGCCCAGCAGTGGTCTCGAGGCCCGAAACGGTCAAAACCATGCTTCGCCGAGAATGAAGATAACGTGGAGACTTCACAGGCCTCGGGAAGTAGTAACGAGGACTGTCTCCGGGCTGAATCGACGGAGCGCAGCCAAAAAGACGGCAATAGGGTGGCTCCAGTGACTGTGCAGGATGATGATCAAGTTTCCCACCATTTCTTCCCAAGCGCTTCCAAGTCGAATGAGGGCACACGTTAAAGAAGAGTCTGCAGCTTTAGTATCATCCATCGAGGTTGGCTTCTTGGACGTGAGCGAATGATTTATGTGTGGTAGAATCATGCAGAGGAATATTGCATTTACGCAAGGTTTGTTCTCTTTTGGTAGAATATACAACTAGGTCGCGGCCATCGAAGCCTTCGCTTTCTTTTCGCCTCTGGGGCACAGTCCGACGTGCCAATGCCTTGTCCCTGACGATAGGTCTGAGGGACTGCAGGTTGATGATGTACAGTTCATCCATGTGGTCTTCGAGCCCCAATCGTATGCCGCCGTGAACGCCGTTTATGGTGATATCAGTGTTGTTACATATGTTGTTGGTAAATCGAGAGTGCGCGGGCTTATTTTCCCTTCTTTTTCTGCTCCAAGAAAAGCACCTTTCGCCGAACTGCAAATACGTTAGCCCGGTCATCCCTATTTCCATCTCGTGGCGTGTGTCGAATGGCGCTCGCCCTGGAGATGGGCACCACGTGTGTCGAACCAAAGGAAAAGGAGTCGGCATACTAATTGGGTCGTATTTCAGCAAGCTCATGGGTGTTGCGGTTCGGAGACGCTTGACAGTGTAGAAGTAACCAGTCGCGGCCATGGACAAGAGCCGGACGATCATGACACGGGACTTCGCTGTAGGACAAAGTCAGTTAGATTGGTGATTCGGAGGGAAAGCAGGCAGTGCGCTTGAACGAAGCTCAGAGGGGCTGCATACCTTTCTTGGCCATCTTGAAGGGGAGTTTGCGCCGCACGCGTTGGATAGCTTGAGGCTTGGACACGGGGGTGGACGGGATAGCTTCGCAGTATGGAGACTGGAATTTTGCGGGTGGTGAGACACTGTCGGCGGAAAAAGGGCCGTTCACCGAATCGCGGATCTCGGTGAGATCTCGGTGAAGTGGACGTGCACTCCAACATCGCCCGGACCGTCCCAGATGGCGCCAGCTGGCAGACGAACCGCTGAGCTCATGGCCAGTATGTAAAACAGTCTTGCTCACTTCTCCTTGAATATCTATCAATAGGAACTTTGCGACGTGATGTTAGTCAAGTGATACATCTCAGAAAGAAGCCAAGAAAAGAGGGGCTAGAGGGGCCATGGCTGATTGAGGGACTGTAGCATCTTGCAACATGAGTATCCGTAGCATCGAACTGCAGCTCGGCTTATGCCAGCCTCCAGCGGTCAAGCTGCGCGGTCAGAAGTCTATGAGATCGTAATCCGAGCAACGGAGATGTTGGTTGGTGGATCTTGTTCAGGGTCCTTTCTCGGTCAATAGCTCTATCCCCCGTTGGGGGCCCAGCAACGTTTTTAGAGCTTGCAGGGACCTGGGCACGAAGCGTCACCGCCAACGATGCCTTTTCCCATGTTCGGACGGTGATGGTCTACGACATTCTGGGTTTGGGTTGCTGGAGCTTAGGTGGGATTCTCTCTTCTTTGCGCGCCATTCCCTGCACGCGGCCCTTTTTCTTGAGGATGAGCCCGCAGTTTGAGGTAGTTTTATCGCGAATATCTAGCCACCCCCGACTCCCGAGTAGTGGTTCGCCCGCCGGCGCCGGGCTTTGAAAGGGGTGTGCGCAAAGTGGTTATCTCGCAGCTCGGGTCGCTTTTCTCAACAGATGGGCAGGGCCGTGGCCGTGGCCGGGGAAAGCAGCAGTAGCAGCGGCAGGATGGTGAGGAGGAGGGTGGGCAGGGCATAAGAATTGGCGTGAGCAGGTCGGATAGGTAGACAAATAAAGAGGAACGGGCATCCTGTTCCTGTCTTGCCTGCTTTCATGGAGAGTGGTGGTTCAGGAAGGCGTGCACTTTCCCAAGTCGTGGGTTCTGAGACTTCCTCCCTCGCCTTCCTTCCTTTTTCCGCATTCTCAGCTCTACGGGATACGTACTTGACGATCCGAACCGCCTTCAGACCGCCGAGAGCAGACGGCGTTTCGTCGTGGAATTTCTCCTTCTTCGACACTTTTCGAGTCTCGCATTCCCAATAACGGAGAATACCAATCGGCACACCGAATACACCGTATACCGAAGCTGAAAGCGGTGATTCTCTCTACGAAACACCACATTCGATAGACCAATCGACCAGCCGACCAACACGATACGTTCGACGATGGCGGCGAACAGAGTGGCTTGCACTGCGGCCAGGTCGCTGGGAGCGCCGAAGAGTCAGGCTGCTGCGAGCCAAGTGCGATTGATGAGCAGCGCAGGCAGATCGAATGGTACGTTGCAATGCTGGGCGAATTGTCTTTCCACTGCTTCAAGAAATTCTGTTTGCTTCAGGTTGGTGTATGTTACCCAGCCCTGTCCCCAAGCCAAGCGCTATTCCTGGCATTCATGAGAGTGGGAGGTTGGTGCAGCTCGAAGCTATCCCAAGCTCGCCTGTCCAGCACCGCTCAAACGGGACAGCTCCCGTCCAAGCTACCTTACGCTTTCCTACCCCACCTGTTTTGCTCGCCAGCTTACACCGTACGCCACGTCTCTTTATTCGCCATCCTTCACCGAACAAACGGACAAGGCACTTGATTCTTGCCTCTCAAGTTCGATTAAGCGCCTTTGAATCCCACGTGGACCCCCACACTTTTCATTCTCACGCGGCATGAGCAACAGGATTTTCCCATCAAGGCGTCGAGGACTCGGAAATACAGTGGCGGGAGAATCCGTAGAAGCTCTAGCCTCTAGGCGCGCTGACCGGCTTCCCCCTTGTCCTGCCGTCACCGGTTTCGGACACAGGCCTTTGAGGCAAACCCGCGCCAAACACGACCGGGTCTGATCCACGTCTTCGTCTACGACTCACCAGCAAGTGCTCGGCTGGCGTCCCGCACTGGAGGGGGCAAACACAGCCCGTCATGGAAGCCATCCCGCGGCAGCACAGAAACGATGCCACGCAGGGTCATGTCTCGTGCCCCCGAGGTCACAGTACCAGCCTAAGTAGGCTTGCGGCTGTCAGAGATATTGAATAAGAGCTTCTGCATCGGACGATGACGGGAAGAAGATGCGCTGATTTCCTGTCACCTTTGCCGTCTTTTTCTTCTCTCTGTCCGTTTAATCCATCAATTAAACATTGCGCACTGTTGTAACAGCCCCCCGCGTCCAAGACTTGGTTGCTCTTTATTTGCCCTTCGTTGACGAAGAGCTAAATAAATAACAGTTAAGGTGGCTGCGTACGTTTCCAGGATTTTCTTGAGACTCAATCTTCCTACGCTTCCTCTAAGCATTCCCAACTTTTTCTCCTTTCTGCTCGGCTCTTCCCGGTGTTATCGATTCGAGTCCAGGTGTTTTTCTACCTTGATCTCCACTGTTGCGCGGCAGAAGCCCTTTTACTAACTTTTATATGACTCTTGCACAGATACCCCGCGGTCCCCTAAGATCTTCCTCTCCAATACCCCGCCATCTCAAAGGCAACTTTTCTTCAGCAGCAGCAACAGCCGTTCGTCACCCCACCATCGAACCATGTCTACCACACCGAGCCGTCGGCTGAATGTGCACAACATCAACCAGCATGTTGTTGCTGCCGAGTATGCCGTTCGCGGCGAGTTGGCCGTGAAGTCGGAGGAATACCGAGCGAAGCTGTCCAAGGGTGACAAGGACCTCCCCTTTGACGCCGTTATCTCGGCCAACATCGGCAACCCCCAGCAGCTCGACCAGAAGCCCATCACTTTCTTCCGCCAGGTTGTCAGTCTTCTTGAGAACCCCCTGCTTCTCGAGCACGAGGATGTTTTGCAGAACCAGCTCGGATACAAGAGCGATGCCATCGCCCGCGCCAAGTTCCTCTTGAGCAAGGTCGGCTCTGTTGGCGCCTACAGTGCCAGTGCTGGTGTTCCCGCTATTAAGGAGAGCATCGCTAAGTTTATTGAGCGTATGTCCTTATTCGTGTTCACCTTGGGCCAAGTGTGAAAACTGACAAAGATCTCCGCAGGCCGTGACGGATTCCCCGCCGATCCCGCCCACATTTACCTCTCTGGCGGTGCCTCTTCCGGTGTCAACACCCTTCTTCACATCATCGCCCAGAACGCCCAAAGCGGTGTTCTGGTGCCCATTCCCCAGTACCCGCTCTACACCGCAACACTGTCGGTCCTCAACGCCACCTGCGTTCCTTACTACCTCGACGAGGCCGCAGGCTGGGGTACCGACCTGAACACCATCAAGGCTGCCTACGAGAAGGCCACCTCCGAAGGCACCGATGTCCGCGCTATTGTCATTATCAACCCTGGCAACCCTACCGGTGCCTCTCTGTCCGAGGATGACATCCGTGCCGTCTACGACTACGCTGCGGAGAAGCAGCTTGTGGTGATGGCTGACGAAGTCTACCAGACCAACGTCTTCGTTGGCAAGTTCCACTCCTTCAAGAGCGTTCTTCGCAAGCTGCAGAAGGAGACCCCCGGCAAGTACGACGGTGTCGAACTCGCCTCCCTGCACTCTATCTCCAAGGGTATGGTTGGTGAGTGCGGCCACCGCGGCGGCTACTTTGAGCTCGTCAACTTCGACCCCGAGGTCGAGGCCAACATCTACAAGTTCGTCTCCATCACCCTTTGCGCTCCCGTCATCGGCCAGTGCATCGTCGAGCTCATGGTCAACCCTCCCAAGGAGGGCGAGCCGAGCTACGAGCTGTACAAGAAGGAATACGATGGCATCTTCAACGGCCTCAAGGAGCGCGCCACCGCTCTCCACAAGGCCTTTGATCAGATGGAGGGCGTCGAATGCGGCGCGCCCCAGGGCTCCATGTACCTCTTCCCCACCATCAAGCTTCCCGCAAAGGCCACCGAGGCTGCCCAGAAGGAGGGTCGCACTGCCGACGAGTTCTACTGCATGCGCATGCTCGAGGCCACCGGCGTCTGCGTCGTTCCTGGCAGCGGATTCGGTCAGAAGGAGGGTACCCTGCACTTCCGCACTACTTTCCTTGCCCCCGGCACCGACTGGGTCGGCCGCATCATCAACTTCCACAAGGACTTCATTGAGAAGTACCGGTAAGCGAGTTTGGTGTAGCAGCTAGTCTTTTGATTTTGTGCGGGGACCAGAAAGGGTGCGAGGAGGCCAGCCGTGTTGGATGACACCGCGGTTGGGAATACCTAGGTATGAAATGAACGAATTTGCGTAGTCCTTTTCCGGAAGCACGTATCCAGGGTGAATAAAAGCAGATATCGATGAGCACGTACGAGGCGCAGAGTAGATATCTCGTTTGTTTTAGCAAGATTTCTGGGATTTGGCAGGTGTTGATGACACTTTTTGAGCATAGCTTGCGAGAATAGAAAGATTCCGCTCCCATGAAATCTCAAGCCTACCTCGACTGCACGTTTAGAGCTTTCACTGTCATATCTATCATTGGGCCTCGGTCAAGCCAAGATGTCTCAAATTGCCTTGTCTAATCCGTAGGTATCATACAGAGAGTTGTTGTAGTAGCACACATTTGCTTGTCCCAAACCCCGGTTTCTATTCGCCGCCTGCCGTTTCTACCTCGCGCCTTTTAGAGTCCCGCGCCTGACTAAGGGACACACGATTGTTAAAGCATTGTGGTAAAAAGCTTTGCGTCATTCTTCCCATCACCTCGCTCTTGTGGGCCGATTATGCCCGCTCGCTTCCTCTCAGACGCACAGCCTGACCGTACTTCTGGAGCTTGGTGATAAGCTGATCGCCCTGGCGGACGACGTCCTGGTACTGCTTGTTCTTGTCGTCGGGGCGGTTGGTCTCGATGACGCCCTTGCCGCTGACGCGGTCGATTGTGCAGGGGATGCGGCCGGCAGCAATGAACTTGGCAAGGTCCCTGGAGATGAAGTTAGTTGTCTGATCTGAGTGACGCAGCTAAAAGGGAGAATGCTATACCGGTCCAAGAAGTCCACAGTGACGCCAAAGTCGGTCGCCATTGTCTCCAAGCCAACCACACGGTAGCTCTGGAGAAGCTGCTGGTAGGCGCGTAGACGCATCTCACGGATGAACCAGTTCTTGTGCTCGTGGAGGTAGCGGTCCTGAGTGAGGAATGATTCCTCAACCTGAGCGAGAGCCTGGAAGAAGTACTTGTACTGGCCGTTGTACAGGCTGGAGACGAGCTGAGCCAAAGGCGAGAAGTCGATAGCCATCTCGGCCTCGGGCTGGTCGGTGCTTGTGCCGAGAGTCGTCAGGTTCACGGCGGTCTTGGCAGCGGCGGGCGGTGCGTCGTGCATGGCATCATCGGCACCGGGGCCGGCGCTGAGAGCACCAGACAGAGCGAGGAGCTTGTCCTCTCCATCACCCAGAATGGCCTTGATCTCGGGGGCGTCGACGACCTTGCTCTTGAAGTCGACACGCTTCAGAGAAACAGATCCGGCGAGAACGGAGTAGACAACGAGGGAAGAGTAGGTGCAGAGTTCGTAGCTAGTGAAGGTGGACAAGCTGTCGAGCAGGAGCGGGGCGGCCAAGTTGTATGACCGGACGGTCAAGAGATAGATACCCTCGTATGCCTTGAGACGGTTGCGACGATCCCAGTCACCACCGGACTCTACCAGGGTCTTTGCGCGCTCAACATGCTTCTTGACAAGAAGCTTGTCGCCGTAGAAGAGCCCCATGCGGATTATTGCGAGAACCAAGTCGATCTTGGTGCCCAGGATACCGGTCTTCTCGAAAACGTCTTCGTATGCGGCAATCGCCCGGTCCTTTCAAAGGTGTCAGTCAGTGTTTCTTAGTGAGTATGGTCCTTCCAATCGCACCTTGTCACCGACTCTAGCCCAGAACTCCGCGCGCTTGCCCCGCGCGGCCTGGATCTCCGTCTCGCCAGCCTTCTCAACGGCCTCATCCTCTTCCTTTTGGAACTCTTCCAACTCCTTGTCGTTGTTGGCCTTCAACTCTTGGTATCTGGCCTCATCCCAGGGTAGGTTGACTGCGGTGGGGGTGCTCTTGGTGGCAATCATGCCCGCCAGACTCGACTTCCGACTCAGTGGCTTGCCGGGGGTCTGACTGCCGCCCTCGCCAACTTGGTTGAGAATACCCTCGAGGGGGTGTGCGAGGTACCGGTAGAGCGGTGCCATCTTGTGCTCGGTGATGGCATCATTGAGAGCTTTCGCAGCGGATTGTTGAGATGGCCGGGATGCGTAGGCGTTTGTGAGGGCGAAGACATGCTGGGCGAGAGGAAGAAGAGGGTACTTTGCGTACTGGGGTTCTGAGCCCATCTTGGCGTTGGATTGTATGAAGGCGTCTGGAAAGGGTCGTGGTCGGTTGCTAAGGAGGGGAGAAATCAAAGAGGTTGAGGCTGCGAGATGGGTTACTGGGTGAGCAAGAGTGATGTCGTTGTATGGTGGTGTTTGGAGCTGGGAGCTCAGGAAAGCCCCCTGCAACCCGCAAGCGTCTGGCCAAAGGCTGACGTGATTGGTCTGCTGCTGGGGGTGAGCTTAGTCAAGTCAGCAAGGCTGCAGTGCGACACGTACTGGACCTGCCTGCAAGCACGAGACAACCCACACTGCGCCTACCTACTTAGTTGAGATGCCGAATTGCGTTCCAAATTACTTTCAAGATGTCAATTTGGTTGTATACAAACTTAAGGAGTCTATAGGGAAATACAGCATAGTAAACATGACAATTATTTGTTCGGATCCAGAGGGGGAAAGAGGGCTTCTCTCTAACGCCACCCCTTCCGTATCTGTAATGAACCCATAAGTGGGTTTTACCTTCTTCCTCAGCAGGTACCCCAGTACACTCCCCCTACCTACCTCTTGCGACGCTTTGCAACAGCAGCTTTTGTTCCTCTCCAACAGTTCGCATCAACTTTCTCACATCCGTACTTTCACAATCAACTTCTGGAAACAAAAACAACAGCCTGCAATCCCCACAGGAGAAAAGAATATTTTCCCTTACGAACAAAGAATTCTCACGTCTGATTCGAGACAATGGCGGGTTACGACGACGACGATTCGTACGAGCGACAGTCTCATTCATACGACGCGAAGAAACGCAAAAGATCGCAATCGCCCTCGAGAAACGGCAATTCCTCGCGAAGAGGCAACAAGCGCGAAGATGGAACCGATGAACTTCCCCAACCCTACAATGCAAAGGAGCTTCAGCCCGCTAAGCGCCGAGCCGTCTCTCCCTCCGAACAGCCTCGCAAGCAGAAGCGACCAGGTGCCCGAGCTCGCATCTCCGAGTCCGAAAGAGAGGCCATCCGCCAGAGAGCACTCGACAGGGAGAAGGAGTTGGAAGCTGCGGCCCACGCTGCAGCTGAGCGCCAGCGCGGCACCAACAACAATGTCGTCACGCAGCATTACAACAGTGTACCAGAGCGCGGTAGAGACTGGAGACGAACCGACAGCAAGATCAAGGGCCTGCGCGCCTTCAATAACTGGATCAAGAGTTGCATCATTCAGAAGTTCTCGCCAGATGAAGACTACACCCCGGGCTCTCGTGAGCCGGGCGCAAAGGAGCTCCTCGTGCTCGACGTCGGTTGCGGAAAGGGAGGTGACCTCGGCAAATGGCAGCAAGCACCTCAATCAGTAGAGCTCTACGTCGGTCTCGATCCTGCAGATATCAGCATTGACCAGGCGAGAGAGCGTTATCGCCAGATGGGCAGCCGTGGAGGCGGTGGCAGGGGCGGTAGAGGAGGATACAGACGACCGCCCCCCCGGCTTTTCGAGGCCCGCTTCCAGGTCAAGGACTGCTACGGCGAAAACATTGAGGACATTGAGATCATCAGACAAGTCGGGTTCGACACCAGTCCTCTCAGCCGACGAGGATTCGACGTCGTGAGCATGATGTTCTGCATGCACTATGCCTTCGAGACGGAACAGAAGGCTCGGACCATGCTGCGCAACGTGGCAGGCTCGTTGAAGAAGGGAGGTCGCTTGATCGGATGTATTCCCAACTCTGATGTCCTTGGCGATCACGTTCGGAAGTTCAATGAGCAACAGGAAGAGAAAAAGAAGAAGGCCGCAGACGAACCGCCGCAAGAAGCAGAGGAGGGCGAATTAGAAGATGGCGAAGCAGATCAGTCGGCGGAATGGGGCAATTCCATCTACCGAGTCCGATTCCCAGGCAAGACACCTGCAGATGGCGTCTTTCGCCCGGCATTCGGCTGGAAGTACAACTTCTTCCTCGATGAAGCTGTCGAAGAGGTCCCCGAGTATGTTGTGCCATGGGAAGTCCTCAGAGCTCTTGCTGAAGACTACAACCTTGAGTTGCAGTACCACAAGACCTTCATGGAGATTTGGGACGCGGAGAAGGACGACGAGACCTTGGGTCCTTTGAGTGAGAGAATGGGTGTTCGGGAACGTGGTGGTGGACGTCTCCTTGTTTCACCAGAGGAGTTGGAGGCGGCGAGCTTCTACACTGCCTTCTGCTTCTACAAGGTCTAAACAATGGAATTGGCATGGAGAGACGACAGTCAGGTTCAGCAGGGATCCTTAGTATATCTCAAGAAACCCCAAGTATCTGGGTCAAGGTACGAATTTTCAGCTCGACATGGTCGCGAAAAGGGCCTTTTGTGTTGCTTTGAATAAAGCTCATCGTAATACTGAGCGAACTCGCTCCTCTCTGTACAAACGCATGTCATCCATCGCGATCCATAGAACCCGTCCCAACCTGATCAGTCCACCGTGTCGATATTTTCGCGGCTGAGCCGTCTATGTTACGACGAAATTATCAAACATCGCCATGAACAACGCTGTGGTGTGGTTCCCTGGGCTCACTTCCAACAAAGCAACAAACATTGAGGAAAGCCTGCGTTCGTCGGTCCACAGTTGTTGGTCAAGTGATTCATCTCGCCAGCGGTTGAAGCGAAGACGCTTGACTTTACGTCTATGAGCGCGGACTTCTACAAGGAGCCTCAGTAGAGCCAGTGTGGTGACCTGGGTCGCCGGCCAGCCGAGGCTAGTTGTCTTGGATGTGATGCCGAATTTGGGTTCGGCCAAAGAGTTGGACACTTCGTGGACCTCGACACTGATCAACCCGTAGTCGCAGACCCTATTTTGGAGATCAGAAAGCAGACCTATCTCCCGGATGTATTTCTTTAGGATCGTGAAGCTGTATGTGGAAAAGCATCTGAGCGCGTCGGGGTTTGCTCGGATCCATGGCTGGATCTCTTCGGGTTTCATTCGCTTCATGATGGCGAGGTGGAGCTCTGCCGGCAAACGGTCGATTGTCGACATAACTGTTGGTATAGATGTATATGAAGGCGAGGAGTATCAGAATCGAGACGAAGAGCATGCCTTGTTGTCTGCAGTGATCGTCGTGCATGGAGTTGACCGTTGTCTTTGCCCATCTCCCTGTGTATGAGATGGCTGTCTGAGAAGAGATGATTAATCTCGGCCAGGGCAAAAGTTACAAAAATAAGAATGAACTTTCTTAGGTAAAGGGGCTATTGGTGTAAAATTATCGAGCTACCTTGTCGTCTTGAACACAGCATTATGCTTTTCCCCAACCTGTCTTGACCATTACGGTCCAGGAAGGCGTCGACCTCTCTGGCCAAAGGCTAACCTAGAGCCGATTGATGCAAGGTCGCGGTCTCTCTCAGGCAGGAAAGATTAGCAAAATCGGCACTCGACGTGTAGAACTTGCTTTTAAAGTAGAACATCTCTGACGGCATGCTACTTGCCAGAATCATTGTTGAATATTCAGGTAGAACTGCTATTAGATGCAGGATAATACATGCTTTGTTTGAGGCGGGACGAACATCGTCTAGTTCTAGTTATGCTCTGCAAAAACCTTTGCAGGGCAGCAAGACCACAAAACCTTCCAAGGGCATGGAGAACCCACCCCACTGCTCAGAATGACTTAGAACTATACTACCATCAAGTTAGAAAAGGATCTGGTAGTTCAATTCGTACCTAGACGCAGGTCTGTTATTGGAGGATTCAAAGTGCTAGACGGACAAGAAGTCAGATTCATGTGGGAGGCTTGCGACCTCAATTGAGGGGTGGAAACCCCGCCAAACCTACTAGTCGATGGCAGTCTGTTTGTCCCTCTTACTGACTTCGCCTAATATGCTGTCGGCAGTTTATAATAACCTTGTATCTGCTCACTTCCTACATAACCAGGACTCAACTTACTCAAAATATCAAAGAAGTAGACTTCTCTCATCATAGTTACACGCGACCAGTATAACCTCCTGTCCCTATTGAATCGTATCAAGTATGAACTTAAGAATCGTCGATGTTGGTGATGAATGATTTGGTTGCAGAGGGGCATGGGGCGGTAGAATCTGTTAGCTTCTTCGAGGCAATCGCCTGACAAATAGAATTTAAATTTTGAAATGACAACGGTAAATTAATGTCGGTCATGATATAGTTACTCGATAGATAAGCATGATGGTTACTGTAAAGCTACTGTTACCTGAAACGAACGAAGCAAACTTCCCTCGTGTACTACCACCTTCCCGTCAAATGTCGTGTACATATAATAAGAAATTAGGGAGGCATCAATCCTAGACATAAGGAAAAGCTAGGACCCTTTACAAGAAACTGTTGCAAGATTCTTAATGACTTATACCACTCCTTGGAAGTATGTTGAATAGATCCTTAACGGAAAAGATAATACGCAAAGAGAATCCGTAAGTTGCCGCCCTAAGACGGGGTATTACGGCCCAGATTCTCAAGAGATGTTTCTGCCGGAAGCAGGCAGTCTCCCACTGGATTAACAGATTCAACTTGCTCGAGCCACTGCCAAACGCAGAGTTGAGCTTTGAATGCCTCTAAATAGCCGAGGACGTTGAACAACACCTCTAGGCCGTTTGTCGGAACGTTCGCACCAGATTGTGCGAGATATGGGTTTGTTGCGCGTGAAATGGTTTGTTCACCCAAGCAAATTCGACTTGATGAATCGAACATCCAGATTCACTTCCTCGTCCCCCTCAACATGACAATTGGAACCCAGCAGCTGCCCTTCATTCAAGCTGCTGACTCTCATCCCAGTCCCCCGCTAATGAATGACCCGCAAAGGGATCACATCCGCCTGCCACAGCATAGGTGGGATCCATCTGAGGGACGAGGATGGAAGTGTCTTCCGCCGCCTCCGGCCCGGAGAGGTTTTCGTGACTACTCTGTAGATTCGGCGGAAGACCATTGCCTGGGCTGAATGTACTGCTGAAGTCATGATGAATGTGATGATAACCCATAGGTGCTTCAAAAGCGTCTATAGGGTATTGGTAGTGAGCCGAGGATAATGAGGTATCTTCCGGCGGGGTCTGAAATGTGTGTTTCTCTTTTCCTTTAGCGCCAGCGTCGAAGCTTGAATGGTCGTCCAGTCCAGAGAATCCTGGCTCGGACACATGCTGCTCTGTAAATTGACTCGGAAGCATCACAGAGAAAGAAGTCGTTGAAGTCAGGGTCTTGCCCGCCATTTCCGTAGAATCGTAAGATGGAACTCCGCTACGAATACTACTTGCCGAGAGTTGGCCGGGGGGATAGGGTCTGGGATATAGAAAATTGGGATCTCTAATCTCTTGAGGAGCGTTGAGCATTGGTGCGGGTGTATCTACTGCCTAAATTAGCCACAGTTCTTCTTTGGTTTTGGTATAAAGCTTACCTCTGTCAGTAAGGAGCTCGCTAGAGAATGAATCCGAGAAATTCCATGGAAAGTAGGAAAGCCTTCGTCGATGGAAATCATTGGTGTCGCATAGGCCCTCGTCCACTCCTGCCTTCTTCATGAGTTCAATCATCTTGGCACCCACAATGAGCTCTGCCCCTGCTGGTCTCTTGAAATCGTTTGGAACGACTACGATATTCCATACGCCGCAAAATATCATCTGCGGCCAGCAAACTTGGGCAGCCACTCTCGCGAAATTCTCGGGATCGAAGTAGCCACCGGGGATAACTATCCTCTCAAATCCAGACGGAGGCGTTGGCATGATGAGCACCCCGAGCTTCTTGGCCGCGGATTCAGTGATGATCGAACCCGAACAGGAGGAGTCAAAAACCGTGTTGAGGAAGACGAAAGGAGTGTTGTGGCCTGCTTGACGAATTCCCAGGGACAGTAATCCCTGTTGTATTTGTGTCGTCGATGTCTGAGTGAGGCCTTGATACGTAGGAAAGCTGGTCTCGGAGAGAGAGGGCTGAAAGGAGGCTCTATCCCTCGCAAACAAGGTCCCTCGGTTTCTGATTTCGTTGTAAGATTCGAAACTGCGTATTTGACTCGATGAGACGAGACTCGGGTTTCGGATTTCATAGTTACGGTACCCAAGGTTGCCAGATGTTTTTGTACCTGGCGGAGGTTTGGAAGAGCTTGGCTTCTGAGCCGCCTGTGCTTTCAATACACCTTCAGGTTTCCCTCCATACCTCTTGCTACTTAACGAAGCTGGGTTTAAAGGTTTTTTTCGCGTGGCTCGAGGTCTCGAGGCCTCTTGAAAGCCTGACGCAGAAGATGAGGGGTGTGCGGATGGAAATTGGCGGAGAGTCCGGCCCAGAGGTTTCTCGTCGTTTTGTGACCCCTTGACGTTAGGTTTCGTCACCTCTTTTCTGAAAAGGGACAACGCGGTGTCATCTTCGCCGGTGTCTGAAGTGACCCAAGTCAATGGACGTATTCGTTTGGCTTGCCCATTCCCATTTGTCAGAAAGGTGCCGCGCATTGTCACAGGTCCGCTTTAGATCGAATCCAGCCTTCCTCGTGTTGCCGCAAAGTGGTTCTTTTAGCTTCGATGATGCGCGGGTCGACGGTGGGAGGCATTATTCGGTTCTCGGAGACAGGCGAGACAGAAGGAGCAAGATGAATTAGACTCCAGGCTCCCGAAGGAGAGTGTATATGAACAGGATACGGGAAGGAAACAAGACGAGCAGTCAAAAGCTGACGGGAGAGTGATGATGGGTATTTTGGTGATAGGTTTTGTATAGCCTCCAAACCGGAGGCCCTCATAGGAGGGGGAGGTCGAATAAATGATAAGATATCCGCATCAGCACCCAGAACGATTTCCTTAGCTACCATAGTCTTAAGGAGACTGAAGTAGGTGCGTAAGGGGCAGTCCAGCGTTGGCGAACGACCACTGCGGTGCCGGCATCTTCGGTACTCGTGGGTGGGAATTTTCAATTCCAATGCACATTTGAGTACTCCACTGATGTAATTTGGTACCGTTATCACTTCCATGGGTCGCCATGGGGTGAGGCTCCCCCGAGGTCTGCTACAACGACGAGGCGTAGTCGAGTATCTGTGAGAAGATCTGCAGCTGTGTTGAGAGGGGCTACCATTCCCATGCATCTACGTACATGGAAGAGAGCCCGTATGGATAGTAAGGCAAAGACGAGGCATGAGATAGGGGGTAGAATTCCAAGACCGAGTCTCTGCTACCGCTGAAGCCGCCTGGTGAAGTTTGCCTTCGATATGAACGCGTCCTCGCCTGCTACCACACAAGCCGGAGTAACTTCTCATCTATCTCATGGCCCCTTACATTGCACCAATTTCAGTTTGGGTTATTCATAGAATATCAGGCTATTTCTCCTTAAGAGTGGCGGTAATGGTTATCATGCTGAACCAGTGCTTAAGCTCCCTTGATTTCTCCTGTCTCTCGTCATCGTTACTAAATTCTCCCGGTTATATTTGGGCATTTCCTCTCCCAATTAGGATATCACTTGCCAACCCTACCGATTTTTGGGCCTGTCTGCCATTATCTCTTCTGGTTGTACCAAGAAGCAGGCTGTCAATAGACTGCTCCTCAAAATGACAACGGATTGAGACCTGCACCTGCGATTGGGTACAGGTTGCATCGAAAATGCAGCCCACCCCCTCTTTTGATTTCGAAATGGAAATTCCAATTTTGAATGAAACCGATGTAAGCCACGTCAGACGAGCGCCCTGTTTACCATGCGAACGAGTTCGGGGCTATTGTCTCACAAATGGTGGTGGTTGCTTGATTACACATCCCTTGGCGCATGATGATAACATGCCACGCCTTGTAATGCCCAGCAGATTCATCGCTGGTTCCCATACCGAACATGCAAAATTGATAGGTCAATTGGTTGAGTGGAACCCATGATGGGAGGATCAGGAAAGAGATATCTAAGGACTCTCTAATTTAGAAGTACTATTTCTTTTTAAACGAAGCTTCATCAGTAATTGTTTAGTTCTAGCGATTGCTCTCTGTTGGAGAACCAGTTTCTGTCCTCTGCTAGCACCTACT